GATTAAGATAGAAAGACCCGTTAACTATTAACAGGATAATAGAATGAATCACACTTTTACCATTAAACCATATCCACTATAACTAACAAATATTTTATATACTATTGTCGTTGTGCTAGATGTACATAATAATTTACCTAATGATTCTTATATAAATTATGTGGTGAAATATGATTAAATCAAAATTTCTTATTAAAAAACAAGAAAAAAAACCTCATTCACTCGCTTTTTTGATACATCATCTATATGTAAATTATCATATAACTCCTTATGTACAAGTAGCATTATTTTACTATTATATAGTGCGACTTACAAAACACGTTTCACAAATTATGCAGAGGAAAATGAAGTTAATGGCTAATAAATGCAAAGTATATGCACTATTTGACTTCTTTTTTCTAACATCTTTTTTTTTTATTTATTTTTAATCATACATTCTTCTAATATAATAATTTTGTGCGCGAATTTCTTACTTTTTTTTAATAATTTTTAATCATATATTCTTAAAAAGAACGATTTTTTATAAAATTTATTTTCAAAAAATCTCCCCAACATGGAACGTATTTTTCATATGAATCAGGTGCTACTGTGCTAGAAAGTACTGCGGCAAATTCCCATAAAAGGAATTGACCTTGACAAAAGGTCTCAATGACCAACAGAAACTGATATTTTTTTTCAATGTGATGATTATCATATAATAATGGCGTATAGGGAAAAATTATTTGGAACCCTTTATCTGATTTTACCTTTTCTTTTTCACCACCTAATGATTAAGTACTTTGACATTGGCCAATATTTTTGCTTGTCTCAAAGAACAAAGGGAAATCTTGGTCTTGAAAAATAAAGGATTTCATGGCCATATATCGAGTGTTATATTTACATGTTATTCGCTTATCAATGTGATTTAGTTTTCAAATTATAATACAAGATAGTCTATAATGTATCCATGTTGAATTCTATTGAAACGTCATGTCTGTTTGGTGAACATAATTTTGTCGAAACTTTTTAAGTTTTTCCATTGAAGTAGGATCAGATCTAGTTTTGTAGTTGCACAACAATATCGATAAGCTAGAGAAAAAAATGTCATTCCTTCTGATGGAATATTATAGAACTATATGGAAAAGCACTTCATCTAAGATTTTATGAGTTCAAATTTTGAGGTTACATGTTGATAAAAACATGCGCAAATTCTAGGCATTTGATTACAAAATAATCTAGCCTTGACGCAAAAAAATATGTTGTAATAACCTAAATTTAAATAGATAATATGTCACGTCTCTAGCGAGCTTAACTTTTAAACATCTCTCAACACATTGGTGGATGCCAAGCTAGTTGGCATGACTAGAGCATAATTATTGTATCCTTGAATCTCTTGAGTCAAGTAAGCATTGTAGAAGTATGCTAATACTTATAGAGCTCGACAGTGCGTGGGTTATGCTAGCATAGACCGTGCTAGCTGTCCAACTTTTAGCGCTTCAATATTAAACTGGTCTTTTCTATGCTTCATGACTTTGTTAGATATTTGGGTAGATCTTTTAATCCTTCCCTAGAGTTGGTTCGTTCATATGAGTCTGACTATAAGCGCTTTAATAATCATCTACCATAATAAAACATGAAATCTATTTGAGCATTTCTTTTTTGAAATTCATGCATCTATGAGTTATCATGGTTGGTTAGTGGGTTTCATCTTGTCAAATAATTGCCTTACTTAACTTCAAATAGAGGTTATTATCTTGATTAAAACTCTTCATATTTGGCTTAGAATTTTCAAGATCCTCTTGTCCTCTCATTTTATTGCTTTAATTTAAGTCAAAAGTTGCCATTAAATGCCTTAAGAAGAAATTTTTTTCCTGTCTAATCATGTCAGGTAATAACACTTATTAAAGTTTCCTATCTGAAATTGATGCCTAAATTTTGATAGATTTGACATAAATTAAGAGCTGCGTCAACAAATTGGCCCTAATCCCCCTCTTTTGGACTTTATTTTTATTCTTGGAATAGTAATTTGACATTATGATTCTGGGGAAGCTTCTTCATTAACATTTACATCTAATTCGTGTAAAAGAGTAATTTGATAGGTGAAAAATTTTAAATATAATTTTCTTAGCATGTCATTACAGGATGGACTGCTTTCCATCAATCACTCAAATTTTAATTTCGACCCCGACATTTTGCAATATATGATACTTTGACTAGAACTTGGAAGGCCTTGCTTAGTTTGCGTGGATTTACTTTACTTTTCGTTTATCCTCCAAATTTTGACGTATCCTTCTCAATAAAATATGAATTTTCGGTATCACCAGACTCGAATTTAATAATGAACACTTCAACTTCCTCATCAACCTAATCATACAATCAACTTTATCGCAAACATTTGAATAAGAATATGATTGCATGATAGCTCCAACTTCAATGCATGCCACTCCTTCATTTGCTTCGATAGGATAAACTCCTCATTCTCCATATTCTCTTCTTTTTTTAGTTGGTATTTTATTGGAAGGAAGACAGATCTATTATTTTGGACAATTTCACAAGGATGTTTTCATGGGAGTTTTCCTCTCATTGTGGTTGTTGGAAGCCCAATAGAGATGATTCTCATAATTCTCTCAAGAGCAACTCATGATTGCTAATGATTAGAAAAAACAATCTCATGGGTGAGTCATCTACATCAATTTTGCAAGCGCATCATGTTCCCTCATATTAAATCGTTGCACGAAGAAGAAATCTCCTTCAATCATGTCACCCTCATCAATCTCGACAAATGCGTCATATTCCCTCATATTAACAAGTTGTATGGTGAAAAAAAAAAAAAAAAAAACCCTTCCATAAGCTTGTCGCCTTCATCAATTTCTGCAAGTGCATCATATCTTGCAATATTAGCTCGTTGTTTGGTGAAGAATTCTCCCACAACAATGTCATTTCATTAATTTAGGCAAGTGCATCATATTCCGCAATATTATCTCGTTGCATGGCAAAAAAAAGCCCACAAGTGCATGTTGCCTTCATCAGTTTTGTGGGTATCTTTCTCATATTATTGCTGGCTTTTTGTTCCTCTTCATTACTAGCTAAAAATTAAACCAAGACAAACTAATAGATCAGTTGAAGAAAAAAATTAAAAATTTAAAAAAAAATTAATTAATATCGAATAAAAAATAGTCCCAACAACGGCACTAAAAAATTATAAGTGTACGATGTCAATTAAAAAAATAGTAAAGATGATCTAAAGATTCCGAAATAACGTTCGCATATAACTATCTATTTAATAATTCTAACTATTCCTACCTCCAATTTGAATATTCATGTCAGGGTTTTGATTATAACTAATGTTAACTAAGAAAGTAAACACGATTATAGAAAATATTTTCTTTTAATTGTGGATAAATTATTCAATCTGATAGTTAAAACGTTGAGACTCATGGTTTCACCATAATTATCACTTTAATCTCACGTCTCAAGTTCAATTCCTAAGATTGTACTCAATCGAATTCACTAATAAAACCAATTTATCTCTATCGGATTGAAATCAATCATATCTTGTTGATTTAACTCACAATATATCTATGTGAATCCAAATAAGCCAAAACTAAACGAATTAAATCACTTAGAAATTTATTATAGACAACAATAATAGTAAAAATGTATATTAACCTTTAATTAAATTGTCGAATATTACCTCATGATCTCAATTTATAACTAACTTTTCGCTTTGTTAAAATTCAAAAATCATGAATAAGTGATAAGCAATTCAAGCATTAAGAACAAGTAAAATCAATACATGAAAAATTAACTCGACAAATCTTGAGAATTGAAATTAGAGGTTTGAATCTAGCTTGTATCATTTGTCATAACTAATGATTTAGTTACACATTATATCAAAAGAAATTTACAAAAGAGTTTTAGATTATGTCATCGGGTTTAAAGGAAAAATAAATAAATAAATTTGAACACCAAGAATCCGCTCTTTTATTTTAACGTAAAGAAACATTATCTTTTCTTCTCTCTATCTGCTTGTGTGCTCTCTTTTTTCCTCTCTCCTATCCCCATATTTTGACCTAAAATAGGTCTAGATATAGTGATTGACCTTTTTTGAAAGTCATGCTTCTAAAAGGATCAAAATACCCTCAAGAATATAACGTCCACACTTCAAAAATCCACGATCAAGTCACACTCTATTTATCAAGAATTGAGCTACATGTAAAGTCTAGCTCGGACTGTATCTGTACAGCCTCCTTACATGTGGGGGGCTTGCGCTCAATAAAAAAATTGTAACCCCCCTCCCCACATGTGAGGGGGTAGTCATCCGAGCTGTGAGCTCGGAGGTACAAGCATTAATTCCCATTTATCAATGTTGAACCACGGCAAAATGGCCGTTAAGATTAGTTGAGGTCTAAGCCCTCCAACATTCTTCTTTCTTGCACTTTGATTCCTACTTTAAGTTTTTTATACGATTTTGGTCCTTTCTGTCCAAATATTTCAATATCCTTGCAACTTGCAAAAGCATCTAAGTTTGTCCCCTAACCTCAATGATCATAAAAAATTGGTCCTCTTATAATTATGTAAATCAGTCCACAAACTTTTAAAAAGTTGAATTTCACTTGTGAATTCCTCAAATTAAGCTCAAAACGTCCAAGTACCTCCAAAGTGTTGATTTTATGTGTGATGATAAATTTTAAATTAACTTAGGTAGACATTAATTCGATAAATTTTATAAGCATAAATAAATATGAAAAATACATTTATCAATAATCATATATGTACTCGTGATAAGACCATCCACTCAAATGATGACACATTGCACCCTGAACCACTCACACCACAAACCTTAGACACTAAGTCCATGAATTTCTCTCTCATTTGAGTTGTCGTGATTTGAGTGGTCTAGAGTAAAGTTTTTCTTGAATAGAATTTATAGACTAGTTCTAATTTTTAATTCCCCTTAATTTTAACCTTTTTATAGAAATACCCGCAAATTCAATACAATATGCAAAAGCATCAATAGATTTGCTTAGAAGCCACTTGATTGCCTCCCCCAACCACCCTCTCTCGCTCTCTTTTTATCTCTCTAATATATACATAAACAATGACTTGAGTTCTAAGTATAATTCCCTCTAAACCATCTTTAAATCATCCGAAACTTTGATACATATTTCTATTTATTGTCAAGTAATTGAGCAATCAAGCTCAGTACTGTCAGTCTATCACTGCTAAGTGTTAACCAGAAGTCAAAATCTCAGTGTCACCAAATAACAGAATCCAAATGGGGCGCCATTCTTGCACTGAAAAAGAGAAGCTAAGAAAAGGGTTATGGTCACCTGATGAAGATGAAAAATTGTCCAATTTTATCACAAGATTTGGTGTTGGCTGCTGGAGTTCTGTGCCCAAATTAGCAGGTTTTTTTTAATTAAATATCTTGTTACATACTTTCTCATAGTAATTCCAACTCTACCTTCACAACATTTTCTGCAGTACGATGATTGGGAACGAAGCCTTAGTCTAAGATCAACACTTATATAATAGACCGTTACCAAATGGAAATGGGCTAGATGGTGATGAATTGCATAGGTTTAAACTTCTGACTACTAACTTATTAACCTTCCTAGATTTCTAGGTGCATTTTTGCTACAAATAGTAATGAAACTGCGAGGTCCGATTTAAGAAATCTGAAAAGTAGTGATTTAATTCTATGAGAAAAAGGCCAAATTCTAAATTTTTTTTCCCTGTTATTTGTTGTAGAAAATTATGAACTGGGAATGAATAAAGTTAGGTTTTTTTTTTTTTTTTTCCAGGTTTGCAGAGGTGTGGAAAGAGTTGCAGGTTAAGATGGGTTAATTATTTGAGGCCTGATCTTAAGAGAGGAATGTTTTCACAAGAAGAAGAGGATTTGATCATTAGTCTTCATGAAGCACTGGGCAACAGGTTAAATTCATATTTCTTTTTTGGCCACTCGTTCGATTTTTTTGATGCGGTCAATAATTTGGGACACTGAACAAAATGTGTATCAAGATTCATTTTGACAACCCTCCTTCTTTACCTGGGCTCTCTATCGACTAAGAAAAACATAGGCGGGTTAAAATGATTATATGTTTCATATATTCATGTTTCTTTTTTCACTACTCAATTCAACTTATCCAATACAGAACTATTACTAATTTGGGAAGGCTAAAAAAATGTGTATTAAGATTCAGGTTGGTAACCTTCTTCTTTGCCCCGTCTCTATATCCACTATGAAAAACATACATGGAGTAAAATGATTATTTCTATTTTTACAGGTGGGCACAAATTGCAGCACAATTACCTGGAAGAACAGACAATGAGATAAAGAACTTTTGGAATTCATATCTGAAGAAGAAGATGATAAAGCAAGGCATTGATCCAACCACTCATAAACCGGTACCCAAAACGGGAGATCATATTCAACAGCCAAATGGGCTTCTAAATTTGGCAACCTCAGATGAAATGGGTCAAGAATTTTGTGTAAACAACATGATTTGTGGACAAAAAGAATATGATCCTCCGTTCTTGTCTGAATATGAAGATAGTTTTGATCCTAATGGACACCATTCAAATTTTGTGACTGAATATGATGATCCGAATAATCAGATTGAGGGAAATCCAAATTCGAATTCGAATTATGGGTTCAAGTTCAACTCTATGCCGGATTTAGCAAATATTGATCCAGGGAATTTTATGGATACAGATTTTTCTGATGGTTCAACTTCAAGAATATTTTCATATTTGAGTTCGAGTAACAGTTCAAATGTGAGCAGCCATACCGGAATTCAGACAAGCAATATGATGCCAAATTCTGAACAATATTTGTGGGATTTCGACAAGAAATTCGAATCAAGGTTTCAATTTCAGATAAAAAATGAAGAGAATTCAAATTCTTGGCAAGAAGGCCCCAGCAGATATATATAAAACAATTTTTCAGAAGATTTCAGTAAATAGCACTGAGTGAGGTAATTAAAACCTAGATGTTTTGAACATAAATAGACTGTAAATTTGTTTTTATTGCACTACAAAAATACACACAAATACAGAAAGATTTCAGGTAAAAATCTTTGGTTCTGGTTCATTTTTTTTGTTTTCAAGTAATATATGAAGTTATTGGATTTTTTTACTCATTGTATGGTTCTGATAGTTTTAAAAAAATAATGTTTTTTAGAGTATTGAAAGTATGAAATAGTTTATTCCATTGAGAATAGACAGCAGTGATCTCATGTAACTCAGTAAATGCAGTACTTAAAAACTTACCTTTTACTCTATAGTGTATCACACAAAATTGGGATCTTTCAAGGTGACATTCTGAATGATAGTATGCTCCCGTACATACATGTAGGGTGATAAGGGGCCAAGTCGCTCAGGGGCTCGACTCGTTTCAACTTGGCTCATGAATCGCTCGGGTTCGTATGCAGACAAGTCATGGATTGAACGGAGCTCAATTCTTTCGCAGGTTGGTCAGGACCCCAAACCAGCTCATCTTTAGCCTTTGGGCTAGGTCCTCTAGCCAGCTTGTGGCTAGTGGGCAACTAGACTAGACCGTTTTGCCCAATGGTTAGATTTTTAAGTTATTTATTTTTATAACTATCCTTTTTTCTATATAAACCCCCCAATTCATTTTTTTTCTTCACACAAGTCTATCTTTTCAATTTATAATTGCTATAAGCTCCATATTAACTCCTTTCTTGTGAAATCTAAAGTTTTATTGTTTCTAAAATTTACTTATTTGAGTTATTTCGGTGTAATTCTACTATAAATTCTATTATTTTACCTCTTTCTTTCATATATAATTTCAAGCGAACTACATCATATTGTTGAAAATTGGTGACTTCAACATGTAAGAATTATTGATAAATAGTAAATGCAATTTTTATCATAATCAACAATAAATGATTCTCGTGTTGTAACAGTGGAATACTTTAATACTCATGTGTTTGCAATGACTTTAATGATTTTGTGTAGTTTCTTGAATTATAGATTTTAAATCTTGACAAGTTAAATGTTCTATTATTGAGGAGTGTCATAATATAAGAAGCAATCACAATGTCAGCATAATTGACAATTGTAATTGTCTCTTTCATTATGAAACTCTTCAATAATAAAACTTTTATATAATCAAGACTCAAAAATCTACGACTCAAGGCACTGAACAAATTCGTTGAAGTCATTTTAAGCATCTTTTTGTATTTTTATATATATATAATACACTACAAATTATTATTAAATTTTTTTAAGACGTTCCAATTTTTTTATACAAGCATTTTCATTTCATTTCTTTCATAAATCTCTACCACATTAGCTCTTTGATTATGCAATCTAAAGTTTTATTGTCTTCAAATTTGTTTCCAATTTTACCATAAATTTGATCATTCTATCTCTTTCTTTTATATATTCTAAATGTGAGTTCAACCTCACCTCTAGAAATGAATTCATATCAAACGTTTCAGAACAATTTGGCTGCATTCATGGCATCCTGAAAAAGTTCTAAAACCATCCTTTATGACTTCATAGAATTAATATCCCCTCTTTCGCGTTACCACTTTTCAGTGATATCAGTACAACTATATGGCTCTTTGTAGAAATATATTGTAAGTGTTATGTTCTAGATCCAGTTGATTTTGGACATAAACATTAATATATAATTGATGCATTTTATTTATGGCAGATTTATTATTTAATTGATTAATATTTCAATAAATGAAATAATAGATTTCATAGATTCAAGTCTTAGTAACCTGTTAATAACAAGGAGCTGTGGTTGGGAGCTATAAATTACATATGATTGAATTTTAAATCATTCACGGTCTTAAATAATAACAAGACATGAATATCGTTATTACGGGATTGAAAACCTACTGAGTCACAAACAAAATGAGAATTAGAAGAATGATATTTATTAATTAATTGTCAAGCATTGGACAAATTATCAATTGGATTGCTTAAGCAATCGTAACACAAAATACAATTATAATTTTGATAGCACAAGAAAAGAAAAACTCTGATTCTCCCATTCTAGTTCTCTGTGTGGATTTTTATTGGAGACTGGACAATTGAAAAATTGTAAATTTCAATCGTAATTGTTTGTTTTCAAGATAAGCAAAGAAGTTTTTAGAATTCAATAAAGTTATAATTCCTATCCCAGTTATTATCCAAATACAAAGTAGTTCATTGGTGGAAATTGAAATTAATTTTATTTACCACTTTGCATGATTACGTAAATTCCAAACATGGATTGCATCTTGCATAGAGAGTTTACTATATTTCGAGAACTATGAAGATCGAAGAAGACATAGGACATCGTGTCCAGGATAAAGTGAACAGATTAATAGTTTAAGATTTTTAGAATCTAACATCATAATTTGTTCTTGTTGTTTATTTTTTAATTTTTTTTCTTCGAAAAAGAAGTGTATAATTAATATTTTATTTGTGTATAATTTTAAAATAGACAGTCCCAAGTTCGAAAAAGAAGGAGGGTCGTAATTTTTTAATTTAAAAAAAAAAGGAGCCGGCTCACGGAGGACTCATCCCTTGACGCCACAAACCAAAGAGCTGAGTCGAGCAAGATTTTTTGGACATAAGCTGTCGGGTTTCTAAGGGCGGCCCATTGCCACCCCCAGTACATGTCTTATTAAACATATATATTAGGACGGTTAATATTGATACGGGTGGATGCAATTTTTATGGAAAGCTTAGGATCAAAAATAAAAAATTGTTTGATATGGGTTTGAAGTGTTCAAATAAAGCATCCGAGTGTTTATATCCAAAATAAAAAAGTGTAACTTCGAGAAGAGTAAAATCTCGAACATGTTTGATAAATAATATTGAATATAAATAAAGATCATATAGTGAGTTATGAGACTTACTAATGTTTGATTAAAGAAGAGTAAAACAATAATTAAAACTTCTTTTTGTGCCTAATTCTGGTTCTATTTTTAGACATCACAGGCATCGCTCAAGTAAGCCATATTTTTAATGAATTTGTGGGAGGTGGCACGTAAGGTCTAAACATAGGAGCTATATTAGGCACAGAGATGTTTTTAGCATTGTTTTACTCATATCTAATCAAGAAATTATATAGTCAATGTCAAAGTCAAATAAGGACTGAAGTTGAATAAATAATTTTTATGATGTCTAATTTGTAATTGGTAATACTGACATGATATAAAAATAAATCTTGGGATTTAGTTTCTAATATGATATGATGATCCATTTTCATCGCATTTTGGAAAATAGAGAGAGAAAGAGAGGTTTATTAGCTAAACTTTCATTCTGTTGACATATAAAAATTCGGTCCAAATCGAACGACCCAACGAATGAAGCCCAATGGGAGGATCCCCAAATCAGATAGCCCAAAGAATGAAACCCAATCAGACAATTCAAAATGAAGGCCCAAATATGGAAGCCCAGGAACACGGTAACACCATCGCCCAAACTTGCAAATCGCCCAGGACTTGAGCGAATGGAGTGCCATGCAGTCGCCTAGAACTGCTACTCTATTCTCGCCCAAACTTTCGAGTCGCCCAAGGTCTTAGCAAACATGAAGTGCTATGGTTATCAAGAAACGCAGTTATCAAAGCAGTTATTAAGCAGCCCTATCACGTTCCACGATTCAATGAATTCAATCGAAAACGGTTGAACGACGAAGAGTAATGACAGCAGTTAAAAAAGGCAGGTCCATGACAATTTAGCCATTACGAGGAAAATGGGCAGTTATAGAACGATCAAGCAATTTTTAGGCGGTTGATCACAAAGAGATCATCCAGGGAGTATAAAAGGAAGAAAAGACATAGAGCAAAAGACCTCGAATCAAAAACTCTCGAACAGAAAACATAAAATTTTAAATTTCTTAATTTAGATTTAAACACTTCTTTCAGTAACTCGTGTGCTTGCGCCCCTTGGAGGCATTCTGTTTTTAGTTTCCGATTGTAAAGTCATAGCCAATAAAGAACACCCCTTTTTGGGACTTTGTCTCAAGAGGTTTGTCCCTTACACAATCGTCTGATCCCTTTTAATTGTTAGCGACGAACCCGCGCGAAACACGTTCCTTAATTCTCCTTATTTTCAAGAGGTAAATAAAAACTATGTTAATTGAATTTTAGGATTTATGGAAAATTGCTCATATTTGAAGTTTAGCAAGAATTAATGATTATTGATATTTAATTGAATTATTAAACAACAAGAGTGAAGTGCAAGACGTGTGAAAAGAGGTTGTAAATTAGAACTTGATTTATGATGTATTACATTGAGCTACGGAGTTGAGGTTGGATTTTGGTATTTTTAATCAATTTTCATGCAAATTTAATGTACAGATGCTAGTTTGAAATTCTTTCCAAAAAGTGCTATTTCTGTCGAAGGGGTTTGGAGACATTTTTCAATAAACGGACATTGGTGTCACTTTTCAATATACTGGAAAATACAGTGTTAATTTTGTCAATCATGTGATTTTCTTGGATAATTTGTTATGAAAACCAAATTAACTGTAAATATTAGGGATTAGGTTCTAAAATAATTTATATAAAAGAGCATATATTGTTAGTGACCCTAATTGGGATTGTGAGATTGAAAATAAAAGATATCAAGTTCCTATTGGTAAATTAAATGATTAATGCAACTTGATGTAGAGAGGTGATTTCTTGGGATGAGTCCGATGTGTCGTACTTAGTATTTGAGTGGGAGGTAACAAGAATATAAGTTAAAGTTGAATCTCTTGAAATTTGCATTTGGTGTCAATGCAGGAGATTTTCTTGGTTTCTTGATACACAAAAGAGGGATTGAACTTGATAAAAATAAAGCGAAGGCCATTTTAGAAGCCAAACCACCTAGCAACAAAAAAGAATTGCAAAGGTTTCTATGCCAAGTAAACTTTTTAAGACGCTTTATTTCTAACTGTGCAGGGTGAACTAAAGTCTTTTCGCCGCTCTTAAAACTGAAAAATTAGGACAAATTCATCTGAAAAGAAGAACATCAAAAGGTTTTTGAAAGCCTGAAGACATATTTATCAAGTCCACCAGTGTTGGTGTCACCAATCCAAGGACGGCCAATGAAAGTGTACGTATCGGCTGAAAAAGAATCAATAGCTGGAATGGTCGCACAGGAAGACCACTTTGGTGAAGAAATGACAATTTACTACTTAAGTAGACGGTTAACAAAATGTGAATGTAATTACTCTGCTATCGAAAAATTATGTCTTGCATTGTATTTCACATGTACAAAATTAAGGGCTTATTTACGGCCCGTAACCGTTTACTTGATTTCTAAAGTAAATTTAGTTAACTATATGTTCTCGCGCCCTATTTTACACCAAAGGGTAGGCCTTTGGACATTAGCTTTATCAGAATTTGAGATACAATATATACCTCAAAAAGCAGTCAAAAATCAGGTTTTTGCTAACTTTCTAGACGATCATCCATGCCTTGACATGCCCGAGGAAATTGAATTAGAAATCAATTCGTATGATCTATAACCTTGGGTGTTGTATTTCGATGGGTCAAAAACCTCTAAAGGTGCAGGAGTAAGAGTAGCATTGATTAATCCTTTAGGGATTTGCTACAAGTTCGCGTTCACTTTAGACAGGATGTGCACCAACAATCAGGCCGAATATGAAGTCTTAATCGTAGGCCTAGAACTAATGATAGAAATGGGAGTAAAAAATGTGATCGTTAGGGGCGATTCTCAATTGGTAATTCACCAATTGATTGGTGATTTTAAATGCCAAAGTGATTCCATTATAAGTCAGTATGAGATCGCCCAAGAATTGTTAGAAGAATTCGACCAAGTAGAACTT